CCTTTCCCTACTAAATCCTCCTGGCACGCTGCTGGGCAGTTAAGGCTTCCCAAGTCAGGCATGGAGCTATTCCTTCCTCCAAGGCCTAACACCCCAGCCAAACCTGGTGCTCCCATCTGAAGGCTCCAGAAAGTACCCAGAACCCCAGCCAAACCTGGTGCTCCAATATAAAGGCTCCTTCAAGGGCCTAGCACCCCAGTCAAGCCTGGTGCTCCAAGATGAAGGCTCAGGTCCAGCCCGGGTCTGTGCTCCCCGCCCCCACCGACTCCTCTCTGCTGCACCATCTCACCCCAGTGAGCCTGTTCCTGGCGTTGAAGACCCTCCTCAGTCTGCAGAGATCCGCGTGTCTCCGCTTGGCCAGGCCGACGTCCCGCTGCAGGTTCTCAGGCAGCATGGCCTCCATAGTGTGGGGGCCGCGGCCACTCCGAGCGGCCCGAGGAGCTTTAAGCACCGGGGGACAAGAAAAGGCCCCGAAATTGTTCTGGCCACAGTCCTGAGCGCGCCGCTGGGCTCTTCTCCAGCAGCCGAAAGGCAGAGGCGCCAACCGCAGGGTGAAGCCAACTCCGTTGCTAAGAAACGGCGATGCACTCGCCCACGCGCTAATCTCGCGAGACTTGGCGAAGTTCTTCCCCGGCTTTTCCTGCTGATGCTCCAGGAGCGGCTCAGGCGCCGAGCACAGCCGTGCGGTGGCTGGAGCTGCGGCTCGTGGAGAACTTCAAGTCGTCGCGCGGCCGCCAGCTCATCGGGTCCTTCAAGAGGTTCACCTGTATCGTTGGCCCCAATAGCTCAGGTAAGGGCTAGGTGGATGGCGACCCGGCCTGAGGGGCGAGCGGGGCGGGCGGCTGTGGGCATCGGGGTAGGCCCTCTGGCCACTGTGGGTGCGGCCAGAGCCCGAGCCACCCCGCCCGCCTGGCTCCTCACCGCCAACCCAGACCCCCAGTCTCTGGACTCCGACCCCCAGAAGCCCCACCCCGGAACCCCCGGATTCCCATCCCGGGAGCCCCCCCACCCCCACTTCAGGACCTCGGCCCCCGAACCCCCACCCTGGAACCCTGGGACTCCAACCCCGGGACCTCGAGCCTCAGGGACCTCCCCGCCCACTGGTACTTTAAGTCTCCCCAGCCCTCACTCTCTCGGGTGGACCCTCACCTCTCCTGAGATTCCCTGGCCCTTTCTCATGGGCCTCTTACTTTGCCTTGGCCAACCCTCACCCCTCCTCAACCGTTTCAGCCATCCCCGGACAACTCTCACCCATCCCTGAACTGTTTCAGCCCTCCCCGGACAACTCTCACCCCTCCTCGAACCGTTTCAGGCTTCCCCAGAAAACTCTCACCCCTCCCTTTAGCCCACAGCCTCCCCTTCATCCCTTGCCTCTCATGATGGCTTCTCACCACTCCCTACCCCCTGCCCCACCTCCCTGGCCCAGTGTTCCCTCCAGTCTTGCTACAAACCCTCACTCCATCTCTGGACCCCCACACCAGCCCTGCCTATGCCTCCACACTTTGCCTTCTAACCTTTGGGTTTCTGTGCTGGTCCTGGCTCTTAACTAAGGAGGGAATTTAGTTATTAGCTCCATGGAGTCTGAAGAGCCATTTCAATTCAAGGAAACTTTGACCCCAAAGTATAATACTGGCCCTGCTTATTCACCTTTTACTAAGTTCCTGGCACCCTCTCATTTTGTTTTAATATGTGGGGTTAAAAAATAACAAATTTTCCCTAGTAGAAAAGTATGCACACATAAAATCTCTCGCAAATTACACCATCTAGTGAAAACTTTGACAGAAATGGATATTGAATTTTGTCAGATGCCATTTCCTCATCTACCAAGACAATAAAATGGATCTTCTTGTGGGTGCTAATAAAGATCACTGTGGTAGCAATGGTGGCCTATAGGTTTAAAGAGCAAGACAGGAAGTCGAGGACTCAGATAAAAGGTTACTGCCTTGGTTCAAGGAACATATGAGTGAAACAAATTGGTAGCATAGGGACAGAGAGGACAAGGTTGCTAAGTAGTGGCATGATTATTGATATGTTGACTGTAAACAGGGAGAATTTAGCAAGGACAAAGAACTCAAGGTAGCAGTCATGAAACCTGTGAGAAAAGCATTCTGAGCCCAGGGACTAGAAAATACTAAGAATAAAAATGAATTTGGCTAGTGCAGGAAAGAAAAATGACTTCTGATCCAAGCATAGTAAATGTAGATGGCATGAATTTTAGAGTCTAAAAGAGAACTTTTCTAAGATCCTCACTTTCCTGATTCTGCATTTAAGAAATTCACAACAGTGGCCTCCAATCCACACACTGCAGAACTTGGTTTATCTGTCTTTTTCAACAGATGGTTGTTAAGCTTAATGCTGGCTGGCAAGCCAGCAGTTAGTGTTTCCTGATGGTTTGTCCTGTACCACATCATCCAGCTTATCCTTCCATTCTAGATGATAGTAGTGGTGCTGTGATCTTTTTAAAAAACTTTTAATATAAAAGTAGTATATTTGCAGTGGAAAAAACTAGGACATAAGAATTAAAAACCCATCTTTTCACAGGTCAGAGATGATTGCCCTTCTCCCTTAGCGGCATATCCATAGAGATTTGTTCAATACAGACTTTCTAAAAATGAAAATGAAATAATACATACTATTCTTCAGAAGATTAACTTTTTAATAAATGTTCATTTCTTCTGATGCACCCTCAACTAATTCCAGAATAGTCTTTAGGCAAAACCCTTCTCTGCTTCAGAATCACATACTGCATCAGAATGTTATATCTTTTAAATTCTCTTAATTTAGCAAAATACTTTTATTTATAATACTGATTTATAATAAGGAATAGAAACGTTTTCATATAAACTTTAGATTTTTTTGGAACTCCCTATATAGGCCAGGCTGGCCTTGAACTCACAGAGATCCTCCTGCCTCTGCCTCCCAAGTGCTGGAATTAAAGGACTGCACAACTTCTTCTGGTTTAGACTGTGTAGATTGAGCCTATTGCTTCTTTATGGTGTAATTTAGTTTGTTTCTCTATCCCCTCCATTTCTATACAAAGGGGCCTGTTTTTCCTCTTCTTCACCAAAATAATTTGCTTTGAAAGTTTGGATTTTTGCTAGTTTGGTAGGTAAGAACAGGAAGTGCAGTTTTATTTATTCTTTTTATAATATGTGATTTTTGAGCATTTCTTCATATGTTTAAGGGTCTCTTTGAATTTCCTTTTGCCTTGCTTAGTCTTATGTTAATGAAGATTTCTGACGATAACCCAAAAGAAATTTTCATAAAACATTTGAAAAAGTTATTCAGTGTGTTGCTATAATCTTAAGCATGAAGTTAATTTCCTTTAATGCAGCATGATGTAATTCATATACAACATCCAGCTTTTTCCCTAACCACTTGTAAAGTAGTCAGTGATATTCTCCCTTTCTTACTTGAATGGTGCCATGCTCTCTTACTCCTTTGTACCTATGACCAAGTTATTCTTTTCCGAGATGATATATTTGCCTTCAACACTCCTCTCTCTAGTTTACTCCTTAAAACGTCACCCAGAATTATCTCCTAAAAAGCCAACTTGGGCTGGAGAGATGGCTTAGCAGTTAAGAGCATTTGCTGCTCTTACAGAGAACCCAGGTTCAGTTCCCAACACCATGTGGTGGCTAACAAATATCTATAACTCCAGTCCAGGGGATCTGATGCCTTCTTCTGGCTTCCACAGACACCAGGCATGTACATGGTGCATATACATGCAGGCACAATACTCCTACACATAAAATAAAAAATAAATCTTTTTCTTTAAAGCCAACTCAGCCTCTAGCTGTTACTGCTTCTACTAAGAACTTATGTGGTACTTTGAATTAATTTCTTAGAAATTATTATAGCATATCTTAATAGCCCACATTTGTTGGAAAGAACATATATTTTGGGAATCAGATACATCCCTCCAAAACGTATTTGACTTGTACCTCTTTATTGTCCTGGTTTGTTTCTTCACTGCTGTGACGAAACACTCTGACCACTACCAACTTGGGGAGGAAAGGGTTTATTCAGCTTACAACTCCCAGGTTGCAGTTCATCAGGGAGCCGAAGGTAGGAACTCAGGGCAGGAACCTGGAGGCAGGAGCTGGAGCACAAGCCATGGAGGAACGCTGCTTACTGACTTGCTCCTCTGGCCTCTGCTCAGCCTGCTTTCTTATGCAACACAGGCCCACCTGCCCAGGGGTGGCACCACCCACAGTGGGCTGGGGGCTGGGCCGTCCCACATCACTCATCAAGAAGATGCCCCTCAGACATGGCCACAGACCAGTCCAATAGAGGAAATTCCCCAATTGAGTCTCCCTCAACCCAGGTGTGTCAAGTTGACACTAAAGCTGTCCAGCACATTTATAAAAAGGAAATTAAATACCTATTTCACAGAATTGTTGCAGAAATAAAATAACAGATGTGCAGTGTCTAGCACAACGTTTGGTTCAGTAAAAATTCATCATCTTCAACATTGTAAGCACCTTGGAGAAAACAACACATTTAAAGATCTAATTGGCTTTCCTTTAGGATTCTAGAATCAGGCAACATGTCATTCTATAAAACAATTGTATAAAAGTAGAATAAGTGTTCTACTGGCAATAACAGAGTGATTGGCTTTTACACGGAACAAGGAAAGAACAATAAAGGTGGATTGGCTAACATGTAGTTATGGCAGGTTACTTTCTTTATTATGCCCAGCTAAAGTAGCCTGGGCTCTTTCTGATTGGTTGCTGTGAGCTTCCTGTTTTCAGGACAGGCCAGTCTATATGAGGATTTACCTGCTTAAAGTTTTGGTTTGAGAGCTGGACATGGTGGGGCACAACTTTAATCCCAGCACTGAGGAAGGCAGGGGCAGGAGGGTCTCACAAGCAGAACTTTGTGAGACCAAGGCCCGCCTAGTCTACATCATGAGTTCCAGGCCAGCTGAGGCCACAGGGAGACCCTGTCTCAAAATACAAAACCAAAATTAGGTGTAATTATATGTCACTTAGCAAGAGTGACTCCATTTGGTTTTGTGTCATCTGCTGGTGCCTAGTGTATGAAACTAGTTTTAAAAGATGTGGCCACTGATGAATTTTAACAGAGAAAAGTGTTCATTTTACTGCTCTTTAGCCAAGTACTTAGCTAAGTGCCTGATAAACCATGCTCAAAAAATGTTTGTAGGCTGAATGAGTTTATTTTAGAGGATAAGGAATCCAAGGTTGAAGAGTCCAACCAAAGGGGCTCTTAAGAATTTAAACTAGGAAAAAGGAGAGGTAAGGGATTGGAATTTGAGGAGCTGGAATGAAAACGGACCTGGCTGTAGTGTAACTTCTATATTCTTGAATACTTGGATCATCTTTATCAAGTGGTGATAGCCTAAAATCTAGCTCTTTCAGAATCATTACTATCCTTATGTTCCTTTTAGATTATTCATAGCAGAGGTCTTTCAGTCTGAACATTGCAAAACTCAACTTGCACGTTTATTAGTTGACTTTTCATAACAGATGGTTGTTCACCTAACACTAGTTGGCAGGGGGGCACGTCATGGTTCTCTCCCCATTATTGTAGTCTATCTCATCACCTGTTTATCTGACTCTTGTAATAATTACCATAGGTAATTGCCTTTTTCTGCTTATTGTCTGACTGTTTTAAGAAATTACGACCTTTATTGGACAACATATATTGAGTGAATAAACTTAGTTGGAGGAATATTTAGTTTGAGCAGATTTTCAATAAGCATTGACCAAAAAAAATTATTGTTATTGTCAGACTTAATAATTGAGCTTAATGAATATTCATTTTGTCCTGTATGTGCTTCTTGTAGCAGCTGTCAATGGGAAGATTATTAACCTCAAAACTCATCGGTTTTTTACAGCATTTCCTAACCTCCTAAAACCACCTATATTTTGGTCATTGGAAATATTCTTTCTCTTTGTTTACATTACTTTCTGGCACTGAAATTCAAATTGCTTCTGTCATAGCTACATTGAATTGTGCCTTGGAAATTAGAGCAAATTATGGGTTCCTTTTGGATAACAAATTCAGTGTTGGGGTTGACTGTCTCCAAGACTGTCCTCAGGCAAGGTGATGTGCTAGACGGTCTGGCATGTCGTTTTAATCAGGATTACTATTTATGATGCTGGAAAGGTGATAAGGCAAACATAGGAGTGGGTAAAGTCCTGTGGAGCAAGTCTGAGGAAACCCAAGTGCAAGGTTCACCCAATGAAGTGATACAGTGCTTAAACCTCAGCAATAAGTTCTCATGTCAAAATGTTGCCTACTAAGGAACCTCATTAGAGACCCAGTCCAGAGGGCTTTTATTTGGAGACAGTCATACCCTCTACCCTACCACATGCGAAAATTCTAGACTCCTGGATAGAAAGCAGATGTTTAGCCCCAGTCATGTTTCACCAGGTTTAGGCACTGTGAGCCATTTCTACCAAGTATCCTAGTTTGGTTTCTGTTACTGTGATAAAACATTGACCAAAAGCAACTCAGGGAGGAAAGAGTTCATTTGGTTTGCACTTGAAAGAAGCCAAAGCAGGAACCTGGAGGCAGGGGCTAAAGCAAAAACTATGGAGGAGCACTGCTTGCTGGCTGCCTTCTCTGCCTGCCAGTGCTCCTGCTTTCTTGTACCACCCAGGACCGCTGGCCAGGGATAGCACCACCCATAGTGGGCTGGGCCCTCCTGCATCACTGAACAATCAAGAAAATGCCTCACAGACATGCCCACAGGCCAGTCCAATAGAGGAAATTCCCCAGTTGAAGGTCCTTCTTCCTAGATCTGTCAAGGTCACAGCTGAAGCTATTCAGCACAGCAGGAGATTGTAGAAACCCTCCCCAGATTCAAGAAACCCTGAGATGCCAGCCTGCCAGCCATGCAGATAGGCCTTTCAAAGGATCATAGACCCAGGTCCACCATATTTTTTTCACCTCTATTGTACTGACCATGAAGATTCTAACAATCTTTCTAGCCCTTGGGAGGACCCTGCATTCAGTTAATATTTAAGATTTTTTCAGTTAATATTTAAATTATTTTTTTAAGTATAAGAGAGTTTGATGCTGTTCTAATTCGTGAGGTATTTTCCATATTTATGAAACAAATCACAGAAATACAGAGAATTGATTTGGCCTGGTGTAATGCCTAGTAAAGGAGCAAGATGGGATTTGGATCCATATATTTGCTTTGATTTAATTTTACATAATTTTTTGTACACGTGTTTATGTCCTTATTCAGATCTCTTAATGCTCTGCCTAAGCTACACAGAAGAAACTAGTCCTCTACCTAGAATTTTTTATTGATGTAGATTTTGAACATTGACCAGACAAGACTATTTAGACTTGCATATTGTCTATATTTCACTTCTGTTGTGGTGTGAGTTCTTCAGCACTGAAGATGTTTTTTACCATTAGAATGAATAATTTATCTTGCCCTCTTTTCTTCTCCAGGAAAATATAATGTAATGGATGCACTTAGTTTTGTAATAGGAGAAAAGACAGCTAATTTAGGAGTAAAAAATATCCAAGAACTTATTCATGGAGCACATATTGGAAAATCTATGTCATCTTTGCAAGCGTAAAAATTATGTATATAGAAGAAAGTGGAGAAGAGAAAACATTTGCAAGGATTATCTGAGGTAATTTTTGTAATCTTTTGAAAATATTACTTTCATTTTATGTGTATGAGTGTACTGCCTACATGTATATAAGTGCACCCATGTCATGCAATGTCTGCAGAGGTCTGAATAGGATGTCAGATACCCTAGAACCAGAGTTATAGGTGGTTTTTAACCCCCACATGGATGCTGGGAACCAAACCGGGTCCCCTGCAAGAGCAGCCAGTGCTCTTAACTGCTGGGCAATCTCTCCAGCTCCTTTTTGTAGATTTTTGAGTTTGATTGGCTGCTTTTTCTTTCTTTGAAGGATGTCATAGTTAACTATATTCTTTTTTCTTAGAAGCAATTGACAGAACCTTAGTTTTATTCTGCACCAATACTCTTGCTTAAGCAGATAGTTTTTTTTTAACACCCCTACTGTGAAATAACATTTTATACTTGAATTTTTGGTTAAGATGAAGGAGGAGCCTACCTCTAAGACAGACACCATAAAACTTCTTCCTTAGGTTTTTTTGTGTTAATTTACTTAGTGAATAATTGCATGTATATTTTGGCTTGTATATCCCCCAAAACAACACGAATGAAATGTTTTACTTATTTGTTTTTGAATATTTTACTTTATGTGTGTGAGTATATTACGTGAATGTAAGTGCAGTTGTATCATGCAATGCCTGTGGAGGTCAGAAGAGGGCGTTAACTACCATGTGGATGCTGGGAACCGAACCAGATCCTCTGCAAGAGCAGCCAGTGCTCTTAACTGCTGAGCTGTTTCTCAGAAGAGGCATTAGATCCCCTTGAACTGGAGTTATGGACAGTTGGTAGTGCCCATGTGGGTGCTGAGAATTGAACCTGGGTCCTCTGCAAAAGCAGCTAGTGCTCCACTGAGCCATCTCTCCATCCCTCAAATGTATTATTTTTATTTTTGATTTGTTCATGAATTTCCCCATGTTAACCTAGTAAACTACTGAGACTCACAATAAATATGCTAGGATTTTTTATAGTGCCACTATAAATAGGTGTATATTTTACAGTTTTTACTTGTTACTATTTTCTTTTTGATTTGTTAAAAATAAGCCCCCCCTACTGCTTTTCCAAACCTCCTTCCCTTTCTTGACAGGGTCTTCCTATGTAACCCACTCTGAACTTTACTCACGATCCTACTGACTGCCTCACCTTCTCAAGTGCAGGCATTGCACACATGCATCGCCACACCTGCCTTCACTACAACATTTCTAATACATGAAAATTGTGTTCCCTACTTCCTTAAATTACACAGTTTTAGATGTATCCTATCAGTAGTTCAGCATTTTCTTACCTGGAATATTCATTGACTAATTTTCTCACTTCTGTTGGGATATTTGTTTATTATGATGAGCGTTTTCACTGTATTGTTCACATGATACTCAAACCCTTGGGTTGAAGCGATCCTCCAAAGGGTGCTGTCATCACCAGACACCAAAAATGGAGACAGAGTGAAAGATGATTAGGTACATTAATAGATACATAGACAAATGGATGGATGGATGGATGATAGAGATGATAGATAGAAAGGTAGATCAATGTCAGATACCTAGAAGATATATAAATAGATGACAGATAATATAGATAGAAAGATGATAGATAGATAGATAGATAGATAGATAGATAGATACAAAGAAAG